GTGTGTGTGTGTGTGTGTGTGTGTGGCCAGCTCAGCCCACCAGGGGGCGGGGCTGGCTGGCATGTGGTGCTGGGGGATTGAACCGTGGCCCCTGTACTTTGCTCAACTTGTTCTAAGTAGGTGCTTTAGACCACTGAGCCATCTCACTAGCCCTGTTTGTTCATTTTAGCATATAATAAAAGGATTAGTGAGAAATCAGAAAGATGAATCTATGTCTTGTGCTCAAGATTATATATCTGTCGAGCTCATTCAGTAGTATAATACTTAAACTTTCACCTATAAAACCTCAGCTGTCATCTCCAGGCCCTGCTCTTTGTACCAGTTTTTTTGGATTACAACAATTATTAGAACACACAGTCTGTGAATCAGATACTGGTCAGCAGGCCGTGGGAACTTTTGGTTAGGTGCAAGGGCACTGATAAGGATGTAAAGTCAGGTTTGGGTATGTATCTCAGGTACTAGTGAAAAATAGGACAGAAAGGGAGCAGGGATGAAGTAAAAAGGAAAAAAATAATTTGACACCTCAAAGATGCTGAAAGCTATGACAGTATTGCAGTATTTTCCTGACAGAAGATGTAAGAGAAGGATGCAAGCATAGATTTGGGTTAAAAACCACACTTTTCAGTATAGGAATTGTTCAACTAAATTGCAAATGGAAGTTCAATACATTGGAGAAATTGAGAGTCTCAGAATTCTGGTCACTCTGGAACCAATAGTTGCTACAGAAAAGCAGAGAAATTGTGGAACTTGGTGGAAACCAGAATTCCATCTTTGTGTTACTGTAGTCGCAGGAAGGCTTACATTTACCTGTCCTGTGCCAGAATAATCTAGGTTATTACTAGGGCAGTGATGGCAAACCTTTCAGAGGCTGAATGCCCAGAGTGCAATCCAAAACCCACTACATATCGCGTAGTGCCAACACTGCAATTAAACTTGAATATTGAGGTTTTAGTTTAGAAAAAAATAATTGATGCTCTGCTGCTGGGGTGACTGGGCTCGTGTGCTGACAGAGAGGGCTCTGCATATCTGCTGCAGCACATACACCATAGGCTTGCCACCACTAACTGGTTATGTTTAGTAAAATTTTCAGACATTTGGAATAAAGTGATGGATACATAGGAAAGTTTAATAATAGCTTCAGTGAATGTACTTGAAAAATCCTGTCTTATGTGATGGGTGCTTATTAACACTTGGATTTCAGACAGTCAAAAGCAAATCTAAGTAAACTGTGTTTCATGTTTCAGACAGTTGTAAAAACTTCTGTTTATTGGTAGTTCACAAACTCTGACTTGATTCATTCTTTGTGCTTAACCAAGAGAACCTTTACATTTCAAATGTGCCATGTATGTAAATCCTCTTTTTCTTGCACAGCAAGGCCTGATGCATCTTTCTTCACGCATCT